GCCAGAAAAAAAAAAAACTCCTTAAAGTGCTTAAGATCAATGATGTCACTTTGAAGACTAAGGTGTGACTGACCCAAGCCTTGGTATTTTCAATAGCCTCATACACATGTGAAAGGAGGACAATCAATAAGGAAAACCACAGAAGAATTAATGCATTTGAATTGTGGTGTTGGTGAAGAATATTGAATATACCATGGACCGCTAGAAAAAAAACTAATTTGTCTTGGAGGAAGTACAGCCAGAATGTTCCTTAGAAATGAGAATGGCCAGACTTTGTGTCTAGTACTTTGATTATACTGTCAGAAGGGCCCGATGCCTAGAAAAGGATATCGTGCTAGGTAAAATAGAGGGTCAGCAAAAAAGCTGCAGACCATAAATGAGATGGATGGATATAACGGCTGCTATGATGAGCTCAAGCGTGGCAGTGATCATGAGGATGATGCAGGACCGGATCGTGTTTCACAACCTTGTTGAAGATGTTATGATTAGAACCACCTGGATGGCACGTAACACCAACCAAAACTAGAAGAAAGGAAGAGGATCAGGAGTGAGAAACGAACCTGACCTATTACTCAGGCCTGTCAAAGTCTTCTCTATGTAGCATCACAGTATTTGGCAAAATACTACCTCTTCAGTTAACCATTTCTCCCATGATCTGAAGTGGGTTTCCTGTTCTATAACCCTGTCTATGAACTCTGAGCAATGCAACTCAGTTTACACTGAGAGCTGACATTACTCACTTAGTAGAAAGATAATTGCATAAAATACTGAGTGAAGATAGTAATATATCATCAGCCACTGGTTTAACTAAAAATGATTATCAAGGAAAATCATGGAGTCGTTCTTGCTCAAAACCCAAACCTGCATTTTCACTGTTATCTTGTCTTAATATGTCCCTGAGCACACACTAAAATGAAATATTATCTTCCAACAAAATACTGAAATGAAAGCTCCTTGGGAGGGAACTGTGTTTGTGATTAGATCTCCAGACTCTGATACTGTATTCTGTAAACAACAGGGGATCATTAATATTTATCTGAATGAATGAATGTTAATTATTTTATTGAGCAATAGAAAATAAGACAAGGAACACAACTTAATGTTGTTTTTTTTGTTTTTTTTTTTTAATTCTCAATTGGGAGCAGATATATTGGGTAAAATTGGTTAGGTAGGGTTTCACTACAAAACCCTCAGTTATGCCCAAAATTGCTCACTTTATAATCAATTCCACAGATCAAACACAAAGATATGCTATGAACCAATGTATTCAATTATTTTTAACAAATGGCACCCCAAGTGAGAATGCATTTATCAGATCTTCTTTTACAAGATGGAAACTTGAAGCAGCTGTTCACAATGTGAATCACACTGAAGGCAAGTTTTGACTGATACACTTTCTTCCTAACCTAGAAAGATTCCTGAGAAAACAAATATTAGTGTTCAAGGGGGCAGGAAAATGTTGAGAGGAGGTGACAATGGTAATGTCAAGGAAAAGGTGGGTTTTACAACATTTATTAACAAAAATTGGGTCATTTGGTCAGTTCGTTACTGGACTTTGCCTGGACAATTCAAATATACCAAGAACTCAGAGAATATAAGTAGTAGGATTAGAGGGCTGATAGGTAAATTACTGAGGACAGATGATTTGAAGAGAGTAGTAGCAATTATTGAAAGGCAAGGTCACAACAATATGCCTGAGACAAATTTGGAAGACTGAGTGCTACTTAGGGAGACCCCCAGGTTGATCATACTGGCAGAGAGAGCAAGTAACACAGGCCATTCCTTTCTGGCCATGGCCCAAAACCATGACAGGATTAGTCAGGTTTATACTCAGGTTCCAAGAAAATTTTCTTGTGACTCTTCAGGAAACGCTCTATCTAAAGAACACTTTTGTTGTTGTTGTTGTTGTTGTTATTTGCTGTCGAGTCAGCCCCGACTCCTAGTGTCATAGCGACCCCTCCTTGGGTTTCTGAGGCAGTATTACTACGGAAGTAGGATTGCCCAACCTTCCTTCCAAGGAGTGGCTGGTGGGTTTGAACCGCCAGCCTTCTGGTTAGCAGTCAAGTGCCCTAGCCACTATGCTACCAGAGCTCCCCAAGAACACTTTTACTGGATTAAAAATGAATTCATCTACTTAAATAGAGGAAAGACAAAACAAAAGTATATCTTTGTATTTTAAACTTTTGTTCCTAATTTCAGATAATTATAACTGCTAAGACTTTATCCAAACATTGAATTCATTTTCCTTATGTTAAATATAATCAGAGACCAGAATAAAGTACTACTCAGTTACCAAACTAGTACATTTCAACACAGTGGGAAAAGCAAAGAAAAAGGAGGTTGGAGGAAAAAATGTCAAAAATAATGCAATGATCTATAACACTTGGACTATTAAGAGCTGGGCCAAAGCCATTATAATGCAAAACAGCATATGCAACAAGATACACTATTACCGCATTGTGTTTTCAGATGATGTCATTATAAATATGGCTCCTAATCAGGGAATCGAAGCCTTAAATTCATACTTAAAAATTTTATGTGAAATTCTACAATCCAAATTCTACAATTCCCAATGCATTAAATAGTACTACTTGCATCTTTCATTCAGGTTCCATCCTGCCCTCTTACCTTACTTCTCTCCTCAGGTCCAATTGGTCTCAACTTGACACAAGGAGGTGATGAGAAATCATACATCAGTACCAACATTCATCCTGATGGGGGTGACAAATGACCCAAAATTACAAATTGTTGTTTTGATATTTTTATTTCTCACCTACTCTTTGAGTGTGGCTGGGAACCTGACAATTATCACCCTCACACTTTTGGATTCCCATCTCAAAACTCCCATGTATTTTTTCCTCCGAAATTTTTCTTTCTTAGAAGTCTCATTCACCTCTGCTTGTATTCCCAGATTCCTATACAGCCTGACAACTGGAGACAAAACTGTTACCTATAATGACTGTGTCAGCCAGTTATTTTTTGTTGTCCTCTTTGGCGCAACTGAATTTTTTCTCCTTGCGGCCATGTCCTATGATCGTTATGTGGCCATCTGCAAGCCCCTACATTACATGACCATTATGAACAACAAGGTGTGCACAAGACTTGTCCTCTGTTGTTGGGTTGCTGGTCTGTTGATTATCCTCCCACCTCTTGGTGTGGGTCTCCAGCTGGAATTCTGTGACTCAAATATTGTTGATAGTTTTGCATGTGATGCATATCCTATTCTACAGGTAACCTGCTCAGAAACAGTGATTATAGAAAAAGTTGTTTTGGCTTTTGCTGTGCTAACACTGATTACTACCTTACTAGGTGTGGTTCTCTCCTACACATACATCATCAGCACAATTCTAAAGTTCCCTTCTGCCCAACAAAGGAAAAAGGCCTTCTCCACCTGTTCTTCTCACATGATTGTGGTCTCCATGACCTATGGCAGCTGTATCTTTGCCTACATTAAGCCGTCAGCAAATGCAGGAGTAGCCCTTAATAAGGTGGTGGGTCTGCTCACTACTTCAGTTGCCCCTATGCTTAACCCATTCATTTACACACTTCGAAATAAGCAAGTGAAGGAAGCCTTCAAAGATACAGTAAAAAGGATTGCATTTCTCACAAAAAAGTAAAAGACTATTGATGTTTTAGACTAAGTTTAAATATGGATAACCCAAAAAGATAAAATAAATCTGAATAACCCATGAGTATCTTTTATGAATTGGCCAAATATAAGGTTTCTTCCTAGTCTGTCAATTTGTCAAAACTACCTATCCTTGTGAACATTTTTCTTTCATAATCAGAAAGAAAAAGAAAATTGAGCTACTTAGTTCTTCTTGTTATTTATTCACAATGGTTTCTATAATTAAAGCATTCATCTAAGACTAGGTTCTCAAAACACTCATTGTTATACAAAGGGAATCAAATAAATAAAATCTGCTTCTCTGGCCATATGACCTACTCATGATGTGGATTCTAAAAGCCCAGAGAACGTTTCTCATTTCTTGGGAACACTTCAATGTCTAACCCCAAATTTTTTAAGAGTAATTGGAAGTTCTTTAATGCAGCTTAAAATGCTATTTAAAACAAATTTTTTTACTCCAGAACCCTTCTTCTCATTTAAAAATTTTCAGACTATTCCTAGATTATTTCCCAGTCTATGTTCAGGATTAAATAAAAAGAGTTTATAAGACACTCACAAAGATAGTAAAGATAGTTTTCATCCTTCTTTTAAACTAATTTATACACAAAACATGTTTCTACTGGCTTATGTGAAAATTTTTTCATCTGATGCTTCTATTTCATCCTAACATGTGATATAAGTGTTGTTGCTGGTGCTATGTGCCGTTGAGTCAGACCCGACTCAGAGCTACCCCTTCTTGGGTTTCCAAGGCAGTATCACTACAGAGGTAGATTGCCCAACCTTCCAAGGAGTGGCTGGTGGGTTTGAACCACAAGCCTTGTGGTTAGCAGTCAAGTGCCTTAAGTACTACACTATGAGAGGTCTATGATATAAATAGAGAGAAAAAAAAAAAAGATCCAGACTTTCAAGTGTTGAGTGGCTTCTACTGATATTGACAGTGATAGTGTTTGTACCTAGGCTCAAGAAGAGCAAGCTCTGCCTGAATTTAGAGGCAAGACCTTGGTTGAGTAATTTCTTGAAGTATGCTGATTTTTACTATACTATGTGCTAATGAAAATGTTGAAAGTGAGTAATTTTAATTTAAATATATATATATATATATATATATATATATATGTGTGTGTGTGTGTATATATATATGTAGCTCATAATTTGGGAAGAACATGATGAGCACTTGGTGAACATAAGCTAACTTCTGGAGTTCAAATCCAGGCCTAATGTGAAACAAGTATATTGACTTAAAGATGAAGGGGAAGAAAATACTAGCAGGGACAAGAATAACAGTAACTTGGATCTGAAAAAAGAAAAAAATTAAAAATGCACTGTCATTGAGTCAATTCCAACTCATAGCGACCATCTAGGACAGAGTAGAACTGCCCCATAGGTTTCCAAGACTGTAGATCTTTATGCAAGCAGACTGTATCATCTTTCTCCTGCAGAGTGGCTGGTGGACGTGAACTGTCATTCTATTGGTTAGCAACCAAATGCTTTAACACTGCACCACCAGAGCTCCTAACTTGGACCTAGTGACAGTTATTCTTTCTGTGAGATGCAAAAAGCTTTGATGCATGTTCTATCTTTATGAAAATAACTGTTCATAATTTTATATTCATATAAAAATAATATTTATGTTTAATGCACATCATCTAGTTGCTCAGATATACTTTATAACTTCATAATGCTTTCAAAAACTTATTCACAGTCATGTCCATAGAGTGTGCATATGCTCTGTATGTATCAAAACTCTTCTGAGATAAAGGGCTTTACTGTCCAAAATGTTTCTCATTTCTTCACTTAAAACCATTTAAAAACCCAGAGAATGCCACCAAATGTGGTAATTTCATTTTGATAGTTAATTTTGATAGAGCATAAATCTATAATATGTGTATGTTTACTTAGTAGTTGGGTTGATCACTTTGCCTGAATTGTAAACCTCTTGGTGAGATTTATCTATATCTATAAATCTCATTCAGTTGAGTCAACTCTAAAAGCTTTGGATGATGATGATAAAAGTTATATACACTGTAAACATCCAAAAAGACATAAGCTATCTCTGTTTACCTTGCTGGACCTAAGAGCAGTCGGATAGAACCAGTATTGCAAATGCAGTAAGTTCATGGATTATAACCACTTAGCTTTCATTCTGGATAATAAGGCACTCTCTTCTTGTTATTCTACTCACCTCCCTAAGAGGGAATACCTCAAGGTAGATTGTGCAGGTCTTTGAAACCTCAGCCTGGAGTTGGAATTAGCTCAAAAAATAACCAAGTTCACTCTAGGATGCATCTGTGGTTCATAAAAATCACCTCAAGTTGTACTGAAATTGATCATGGCTTTTCACCTTGCACTGGTTTATCAGAAAACCAAACCCAAAACCCTTGCCACTGAGATGATCCCAACTCATGGTGACCCCCACTGGGTTTCCAAGCCTGTGAATCTTTATAGAAGTAGATTGTCTTTCTTCCTCCCATGGGGCAGCTGATGAGTTTGAGCCACTGACCTTCTGGTTAGCCAAACGTCTTACCCACTATGCCACCAGAGCTCCTTTGCTTATCAGAATACAGTAAGAATTACATCATTTAATTGTATGTGGAAGTTGGAGAAAGTTTCAAAGAGGGGGGAAATACCTTAGACATAGAAAATATCGAAGAATTCCTTCTTGAAGAAAGGATGCTTATTCATCATCTATATACTAGTTGTCACTGTACAATCAGATTTGACTTTGGGGAAGGTATTTGGCTGTGTGGATCACAACAAATTATGGATAATATTGAGAAGAATGGGAATTCTAGAACACTTGATTGTGTTCATCAGGAACATGTAGATAGATCAAGAGGCTGTTGTTCAAACAGAACAAAGGGATAGTGCATGGTTTAAAATCAGGAAAGGTGTGTCAGGGTTGTAGCCTTTCACCATATTCATTCAATCTGTATGCTGAGCAAATAACCCAAGAAGTTGGACTATTTGAAGAAGAACATGGCATCAGGATTGGAGGAAGAGTCACAAACAACCTGCAATATGGAGATGGCACAACCTTGTTTGCTGAAAGTGAAGATGACTTGAAGCACTTACTGATGAAGATTAAAGACTACAGTCTGAAATATGGATTGCACTTGAACATAAAGAAAATTAAAATCTTCACAACTAGACCAATAAGCTGCATCATGATAAATGGAGAGAATATTGAAGTTGTCAAAGATTTCACATTACTTGGTTCCTCTATAATTAGATATAATCCAGTTTGGTGTCATAAAGCTCACTGCACCCTCGTGATTTTATCTAAATGTTTAAGAAAATGAGAATGAGGCCATGAAAAAGTACAAGGTGAGAGAGGAAGTGAGAAGATAAAATATATACCTAAGGGAAGCATGAAAATAATTTCTTCTGCTTCCATTCAAGACCTGTCATTATTCTTTCATTTATTCATTCAAGAATTATTTGCTGAGCCATTACTATGGCCAGAGTTAAGTTTTAGAACTGGAATATAGCACTGAACAGAGATAGGACAAGATTCCTGATGTCATACATTTTATGTTTCATTCTCAGAAGAGAAAAAGAGGATACTGAGAATGTGAGAGACATCCCTAGTTCACCCTTTTACTTGGGCTTTAGAATCCTTCTTTATGAGCCTTGGAAAAATCAAAATAAACACAATCATTAAATTAAATGACAATGATTTTGTCATGTTGACTAAATCCATAGCTACTTGAATGATTGGTTTAAGCAAAAGTTTGCAGATCACTTTTGTAGTCCATTCAATCCAATGACTCCATTTAGCCTTGTGCTCCACCTCTCCTGATCTACTTCTTATGTTGCTAATGTCCTGTGTTTCATGCTCCCATTGCTGCATCCTCACCAGTCTCTCTATAACTGCTTTTT